TGTGGACGCGCTAGTTCGAATTAGCAAAATGCTAATTCGAACTAGTTTTTAGTTTTTAGTTCTAGATGCGTTAGTTCGAATTAGCTTAGTTCGAATTAACTAAGTAGTTCGAATTAGCGCTGTAGTGTAGACATACCCTGAGATTTTAAAGTAATAAATGTTGGGGTCTTTTCATTTGACTTCTCGTGTTGGAGCCTCTCGCTCCCAGCTCCCAACCTGCCTTTCTTGCCCGTGTGGGCAAGCAGAGGAAAGCTGAGATTCTCGGGTAACTGCAGAAACCCAGGAGCTGGCACTCCTGATACAATGGCAGCTGTTGGCAGCACGGCAAAGAACCCGCAGGTTTGGACAGAGCCCAGATGGGTGGGCATGAGAGTGGGAGCCCGAGGGGCACAGCCAGCCGCCAGGCAGGAGGTGGGGAGCCAGAGAGATTAGTGGCGGACATACTGGGGTACTGAGTTCCAGGGAGCATGGCCCTGCTCTGTGGGCTGTCATAGATCTCGCTGAGATGGTGGCTGTGATAACAACTTTCCATTCCAGCTCCGTCAGGGAACACGTGCCTACCCCTTCTTTAATGACAGCCAAGGCAGAGAAAGCCAGCGGCTGCCCAGAGACGCCAATGAGTACAAGCACGGGCTTGGACTTGCTTGTTTGCAGCGATGTCCCGCTCTCAGCCCAAAGCGGCTGAAGAGGGGCAGCAAGCCAAGAACAGAAAGGGAAGTGACCGGCAGCCCGGCGTGCGCTTCTGGGCGGAGTGCTGGCTGGACAGAGGTTCTGGGCTGGCGGAGACCGGAGTCCTTGCTGCACTAGCTGTGCTGTGTGTGTCTGGACACACTTTTCCTGTGGGTACAAACACAGGGTGCGCTAGCAACAGGGCTGGCCCTACCACGAGGCCAACTGAGGCAGCCGCCTCAGGTGTCAGACTGTGGGGGAAGGGGGGCGGGCACTAGCATCCAGAGTGTAGAAAATTGTGTCTGCTGCTGGTGCATCTGTATTCTCTCTGCTCCAGATGCACAGAGATGGGGAGGGCTGTGCTGGAGGAAGGAGGGCACGAGAGACATAACAGGCAGGCAGGAGAAAAGGGGGGATGGGGGCATCATTTGAGCTCCCCGCCTCAGGTGCCAAAATGTTGTGGGCCGGCCCTGGGTAGCAGCTGTTGGCGAGTCAGAGAGCCTCTGGCACTGTTACATCTGCAGCGCTCTGCAGTGTAGCCTTGGCCGTGGCCTAGGGAGCAAAGGAGCAGCTGCCTCCTTCCTGTTGTTTGTTCCTACAGTGTCCGGGGAACCAGGACTTTGACCATCATTGCATCAAAGAAACAGCTGACTCATCCCAACAATCTTTCCTCCTAACAGAAGCGCTCACCAAGGTCCCCGCTATTGGCTCAGCACTTGGGCATAGAGAGGGCAGCGAGCTGCCAGGCCTGGGAGGAGACTTGGAGAGCGTGAGGCCAAGGTGTAGGATTATCAGCCAGAGAAGACATGTCAGACTGGCAAGTGGACTGCTGGAGCCAGCAACTTCCGGGTGGGTAGGAAGAGAAGGTGGCTCAGTAGTGCCCTGCGGCACCAGAACCCCACCACGGCCACCCTCCCGCATCTCTTCCTGCACTATCTGAGCAGCCCCAAATCGCTCCCTCTGGATCTCACTCAGCCTGGGTCCTCAGCCCGGCCCGGCTACACTGCTCCGCAGTTCGGACTAAGGGTGTGACTAGCCCTGCGCCCCAAAGGCCGGCGCTGTAACTCCCCTGGGGGGATGCTGCCATCCCAACCCCAATTAACGTGCTCCTGAGTGCGCTGCTGGCCACGTCCCCTTAGGCCTCATGGACCTGCCCTCCCATTCTTCTTCCAGGGCCTCTGAGGAGCCCCGCTTATGTGTCTCACCCGTCTGGGCCCTTCTGCAATGCCAGGCCAGTTGGGCCTGGGGACACTGACTTTCCAGGGCCCTGTGGCCCAAACACCTCCACTCCTTTCTTCATACCACAGACCACGGCACCAGGAACCCTCCGCTTCCTCAGGATTCCGCTTCCCGCTGCTCCCGCAGTGCCCCCCTCGGGCCATGGCCCCGGCCTTATGTAACACAGATTATCTGTTGTCTCCATGCCCATATTTTCCCTGCTGCAGACAGGACCCTGCCATGCCCTCCTCTGACCCTCACTGCCAGGCCCAGGATTATGGGTAGAGTCCGGCTTGCGTCAATGCAGGGTGCTTATTGCCAGGCAGAATGTTCTACGTGAGAGCCTCAGGACTTAACCCTCACAGCTCCGCCTGACTCAGAGAGCGCAAGGCTGGCGCGGCGGAAACACAGTGCGAATTTTCTCTTTGGGAGTTCCTGGGAGGCTCCAGTTTCTCATTTATTTAAAAGGAGGGAGCAACAAATGAAAATAAAGGAATTTTTCATTTGAAAAAAACCAAAGTTTTCAAAAGCTAAATTTCTCTGACATGTTTGGTTTTGACACAGGCCATTTTTCATGGGGACCCTTTCCATGTCCCAGCACCCACTGGTCTCTTCCCTGAGCGTAGTGCAGGCCTGGCCCCACAGCCCTGTACCAGGGAGAGGTATTGCAAGTGCTACGGCTCCAAAGAGAACAGCACAATAGAGACAATGGATTTCAGGAAGGCAGAGTTCCGTAAACACAGAGAGCTGCTAGGTACAGTCCCATGGGAAGCAAGACTCAGAAGAAAAACAACTGAAGAGCGTTGGCAGCTTTTCAAAGGGACATTATTAAAGGCCCTAAAGCAAACTAGTCCATTGCGTAGGGAAGATAGAAAGTCTGGCAAGAGACTGCCTTGGCTTAACCAGATCTTACATGATCTAAAAATCTAAAAGCAGTTGTAAAAATAGTGGAAAGTAGGTCAAATTACAAAGGATGAATATGAGCAAATAATGCAAGTATGCAGGAGCAAGATGAGAAAGGCAAAAGGAAAAAAATGAGCTCAGTCTAGTTACAGACATAAAGGGTAACAAGAAGACATTCTACAAATCTATTAGAAGCAAGAGGAAGACTGAGGACAGGGTAGGCCCACTGCTCGGTGAAGAGGGTAAAACAATAACAGGAAACTCGGAAATAGCAGAGGTGCTTAGCGACATCTTTGGTTCGGTTTTTGTCAAGAAGTCTAAAAAGGTGTTAGAAGAAGAAGGGAGAAAAATTCTTCTCCTTGGCCTCTGAAGGTAGGACAAGAAGCAATGGGCTTAAACTGCAGCAAGGGAGGTTTAGGTTGGACTTTAGGAAAAACTTCCTAGCTGTCAGGGTGGTCAAACACTGGAATAATTTGCCCAGGGAGGTTGTGGAATCTCCATCTGGAGATATTGAAGAGCAGGTTGGACTGACACCTGTCAGGGATGGTCTAGATGGCACTTGGTCCTGCCGTGAGGGCAGGGGACTGGACTCAATGACCTCTCGAGGTCCCTGCCAGTTCTAGTGTCTATGATTCTAGCCATCAGCCAAGCCCATGGCCTCCAGCAAGAGACTGACCAGCCTCTAAGTGCGCGGGAGGGCCACACATCAACGCGTGCTCCTCTTAGATGACGAATCGGTGAGCTTTTCACATTGGGCAAAGGCTGTTTTTGTGCCAGGCAGCACAAGGGGCACCTGTGCCAGCCAGCTGGGAGTAGCCCTGGGACAAGGCTGCAGCAGCTTGTCCTGCCTCCCTGCAGCATTGTGTCACCTGTTTAGAGCCATGTTCTGCCTGGGCGCTGATGGGCACAGGTCTGCCCAGCCGACGTAGGGCAGAGCTGCAGAACTGATGCTAATGTTCTGCCCAAGCTGGGCAATGTAAGCAGCAGGCCAAGCCAGGGCCTTGCTCATCCTTCTTCCACCTCCGCTGGCGGATACCAGCAGGCCCTTTCTGGTGGCCCCTGACCCCTGACACTGTGTCATCAGCCTGTCTGTTTGCAGCCAGATTAGCAGGATTCCCGCAGCCCCCGAACAGCTCTTTGATCTCCAGTGAGCCCCAGACACACAGGCTCAGTGCGTGTCTGTATGGGGGGCGGGTCTACCGACTAGAAGCAGCCTTTGCACGGTTCCCAGACTAAAACGCCTTCCTGCAGCTGCTGCCCTCCCAGCATCGCACCCCAGGGGCAGAGAGGTGTCACTGCGCAGCGGTGACCTGCCTGCCCCAAAGAGGCGCTTGGTTCATGAGCACTTTGCACGGAGGGCAGAGAAGTTGCATCACCGCCCATTATCTTCCAGGAAGATGAGGCTGTGTGGGCTCTGGACAAATAACTGGACCAACCAGGACTCCCTTTAACCCTTAGGGTCCTGGCACATTCTGACACAGGCTGAGGAGTTTGTGTGACGGTTTGTGCAGCTGCCCAAGGGGAACCAGCCCCTCTCTCTGCATGGCGCCTGCAATCTGTGGTTTGAAACAAACAAAAGGAAGTTTTTCTTCACGCAGCACATGGTCAACCTGTGGAACTCCTTGCCAGAGGAGGTTGTGAAGACCAGGACTTCAACAGGGTTAGATAAATTCATGGTTAGGTCCATTAGTGGCTATTAGCCAGGATGGGTAGGAATGGTGTCCCTGGCCTCTGTTTGTCAAAAGCTGGGAGATGGGGAGGGATCGCTTGATGGTTCCC